CAAGGGGTGAGGATCAGGAATCAAAAACTTGGTAAATTAGCTGCATGCTGCACGTATTATATGAACGGTCTTGAGCATTTTTCTCCGCCGTCGCGCCGGATGAAACGCAACGATGATCGTAATAACGTCTTGATGCAACTATTCGTACTCCAGGGATGTCCGTGCTGCATACGCAAAAAATTGAAGGCGCTTGGGGTACTTTTCCATATCTGCAGGCCTGCTTACATAAATCACGGCTTGCTGCGTTATTCATCCTCCTCAGAGCAAAATTGAATCCGTCCGTTCAAAAACGACCCTTCACCACCAATATTTAAGCAATGGGTTCAGCAATTCTATCCTGCATTGAGAAAACTGGGCCAGCAAACATCTCATCCCAACATTTATTATCATCTTGTGCCGGAATCTTACGCTGCCGTGGGCAGCTGAATATGGAATAAGTCAACAGTCATCGCTCTACACTGAAAAAAAAGTAGTTAGCGTTGAGAACTAATTTGGTAAGTTCTCGCCAAGTAGAATCAAAATTAGGCTTCAGAACTAATTTATTGTACTGAAGCACCAATCAATTCACCTCATACGCTGACTTGACTTTACTAGAGCGCGAACCAGAATTGGAAAACAGCACTAGCTGTAAAATTAGCGCTGTGGTAAGACAAATTCACCTTCGGGTCAAACTAATTCGCCCTCAACACTAACTGCCACATTGTCCGTTACATTTATTTAGTTTCGAAAAAGTGGCGTCGGTACAACAGCCTCAATCGCGTCAGCTCGTGAAAATCAATTAAAATGTGAAATTTCGGGCTCGTTTGACAATGTAAATACTCCCGGTATGATTTATAGTGTCCTCTCTTTCTTGAAAACGTTCGAAAGCAACATAAATAAACCTGTTAAGGTTAGAAATCGTCTGTTCGATTCAAAACGTAAACAAGCATGATATTTGTTGGAGTCGTCAATCTTCTGTATTAAATTGCGATTAAAGCGTTCCGCGTTCAGTTTATATTTTACGAAAATCTGTGAACTTACTGCTTACTTCTATAGTTCGTGTTCTCCCGTAATTTCAAAAGAATATCTCAAGTGTTCGGACGAGATATGTTTATTCAGTGTGAACATTCGCTACCGTTTCATGTGTGAGTGTGTGTCTCTCTAAAGGATAATTCTGTCTACTTGCACATACCTATGGGATATTCCTTTCCTCTGTCGTTCATTTGGAACCGGTCAGTTGATTTTTACCTCTCATCTTTTAAGAAATCTTCTTTTCCTGAAAGTATTGTCCAGTTATCATTCGCTAAGCCGTTTTCTCCTCTCTCAGTTTTGAGGTTAGGTTGACCCAACCCTACCGAATGCGAATTAGAGTAGCGGAATTAGTTCCCAGCACTAATAGTGGTTAGTGTACAGAAACCAAAAATCATGTATGTCCAAATCACACAATATGAGTTAGTGTATAGAAACCATTTTTAGTCATCTGACGCTAACTCATTTTTTTCAGTGTACGGCTGAAACCTCACTATCCACTCCTCCAACTATCCTCCTGAGCGTTATTGTGTTTCCATAGTTTCTTTTCTTCTCCTTCTTCCTCTTCTTCTTCTTTCCTTTTTTTCTTGTAAATTTTCTTATGAAAACCAAAAAAAACTGATTTCAATTTCACAGAGTTTTAAAAAACGAATTTTTCGCTGATTGGATTTGAGAGGAGTGGGAAATGTGAGGTTAGGTTCCGGCAACAGGGTCCAAGCTGCGGCTCACCTCAACTATCTTTGTCGGCGTCCGGCATCCAGCATCTCGTCCGGGGACTCATCAACAGGGACGCTGGAGGGACAGGCCGAGTCGCCGTCTCTTTTCGTCACGGGTGAGTTATGGTTAATTGCGCGAGTTTCCTCAGAGCGCGTCGCTGCCCCCAGACCCCTCCCGCCCGGGGAGTCCCTTGTTTGCACGCTGCCCAACTTGCGGTGACACGACTGAATTCATCATTAGAAGTGGCTCAAGACAAAACACGCCCCCTCCCTCCGTCCCTTCCAACGCGCACCCCTCCCGCTCAACCCTTTCCGGACGGCTTTGCTTCCTTCCGTCTCGGTATCCGCTCTGATTAGTCCTGGCTCGCAGGTGCTCTTTTCCGTGGAACTGGTCGATGATAGTGGATCATTGAGTAGATAACTATTTGTGCATTACCGCATATCGGTTTGTCTATCGTCATATTTGAAGGCGTCTCTTCCGATTACGCAGATTACGATTCACGCCAATTTTCGGACTGTTTCCTACGTATCGACTTAAATACTTCATTTTCTCCTTGAAAGACCGGTCAAAAATTTTTTTTGAAAACTTCCTCGATTTTTATTCTCTGTTAGCACAATATTCTGATGAATTTCAAGCTCTAAAGGTGGCTTGTTTCTCTTCGAATAACTTAAATAGGAGCGGAAATTGATGTGAAAATTATCGCACACTGGTTTGCCTACCGTCAGATCGGAAGGCGTTTCATCAGATATTGTAATTTTCGTGCCCATTTTTGCGTCGAAACTGTGTAGATGCGAAAGTATTTGACGCCATGGCGCCATGATCCATGCTGGAGCAAAGTCTCACTTAAGGAACTTATCACTTGAAAAGTGGCTCCGTTTAGACCACACCCTTCCCTTTCTCCATCCGACCCTTCCTCTCTGTGTTTTCTTCAAAATTGTTTTAATCTCTTTAATTTTTCGGAGAAAAACAAATTATCAATATTGTTTGAAACTCGCCTACGTTTTTTCTTCTTCATTTCATGATCCCTCTGTGACAAATTTCTAATCTTATGAATTGGCTTTCTTTCTCGTTTTTTAAAAGTGGCTATTGAGATACACTATTTTGGAGTATGAGCGTCGATTGGTGTTGAATATGGCGACGCCTGAATCATAGACCCTAAATATTGCCCCATTCGGAGGTATCGTAAAGAATCGATTATTAAGGTATACTTGATAATCGATCCTGCTCCATGGGTCTCAATGACATCTCAATCGATTTATCGCATAGCTCGACACGCCGCGCAACTAATTTCTGATCTGGCAATGCCACAACCGCAGGATTCGGCGTAGGTATCGCTCAAACGCAGGCAAATCGGGCTCCCACGACCAATCGAAAGTTGCGATGTTATTCCGCGTATACCGTTCCGACTTGCACCGACGGGAAAAATCGAATCGAAGTTAGAGCCATCGCGGAGCGATACATCATGGAGCGCAGGGCGAGTTTAATCGGCGCGCGGACAGGCATGCATGCGGTTTATTCTCCGCGGCTGAACGGATTATAACGGCTTTACCTTTGTATATTTAACTACCCAACCCTTTATTCATCAGCAGTAATATCCACTGACTTTACGCATACCACCCCTCCTCTAGCGTTTCTCAATTTCACCTAAAAATTGGGGCGAACATAAAGGGGGAACAGGGTGTCTCACAAGTTTCGGGGCGGTTGGAATGTTGGGTAACTCCTGATTCGATCCTTATAGAAAAAAGGGGGGAGAGGATAATGCATCTTCTTTGGTCTTGTAGTCGTTTCAAGACCAGCAGAACCCTTGAATTGGCATGCAGTACTGTGATTTTACATGAGCAGGGGAAGTTGCCCCCTCTGGCTTCCGGAGAAATCGAATTGTGACATGATTAGCGTGACACTTTCAGCGTGGCACGCTATTCCTATGAGTATGGTACAAGACTGAATGTTGAAACATATCAAGGGTGAAAGGTCGCAGCCACGGGCCACGCATCTGTTCGCGGTATTTCAAAATGTCCACTCCTTTTTCTTTCTTTTGAAGAGCAAGTTGACATCATTCCTTGAAATTTTTGTAGGATTTACCTTGTACAAAGAAGAAAAATCACGGCAGTTTTGAAAAATTGCTGTTCAGTAGTTTTCTATTTTAAAAATGAAGTATGACAGGAAGTCTGCAAATTTGTAAACCGAGGTACTTGGTTGAGGACTTTCGTCCACCTTATTCCGTTTAGAATAAGAAACTTAAGGAAGTCGATCATTCCTTGATGGGATTTTTAAGCCCTCACATTTTTTGCCCTGCTGCGAAAACTACAATGATTTCGCCTCAGAGCTCTTACAACCTTGAAGATATCAAAGTCAGCTTTTTTCTCTCGCAAATTTTTAAACAGAATTCGCGCATTATTGAAAACATTTAGCCTTTTTTGAAATTTGATCTTTAATGTTTCAGGTAGGTACTAATATTCTTTTCCATTTTCTGATTTTAAAGATAGTCAGTTACCATTAAAAATTTCAGCTTGTTATTATCATGGTCTTCCAAAAATAGCGCTCTGACATCCTTTGTGCGCAGATAATAGAAGCATTCTATAATTTTAAAATTTCAAAGTACATCCGCTCAAAACTTACGCTGCTATCCGCGAACTTTTAGAACACCCTGTGTATGAAAATTCATCTCGGCGAGTCAGTCCACTTCCTTCCTTAAAACCGAGCCCTGACAATACTCAGTCTGTGGGGTTCTACAGCTTTGAAAGTTAATTCAGACTCTCAAAAGCTCTCTTATCTAAGAACTCAGGCCTGTTGACCAGCTAAGTCCCTTGAAAACGTCGAGACGAATTCTAAAGAATTAAGGCTAATGCAAAAGGGATCGTTCATTTTGAAAGTATCACGGATCGCATAGTTAAATGAAATGCCTCTAGAAAAAACAATGAATTCATCAGACATTTTGAGTGGAACACCTCTCGCTACGCACCATGGAAAAAATCAAACCCTAAGCTTATTTTATTGCTTGAATTTTTTAGCTTAGACTTTATTTTTGCCCAAAGCTTTTATGGAATATTAAAATTAATAAGACCTCTTTTCCTTCTGTAGCAATATCCTTCTCCTGTTTTAGGCCTAAATAAATGGTTTCTTAATTTTGAAAAATAGTTCACTCCAGAGGAGGGAATGGTGAACTCTCAGAAGAAGTTAATAAGAGAAACCAACATTCTTATCAAAAGGTCTGACCCAACGGAGCAAAAAATATTTCACGTTTATATTTACATTTTCTGTTCATTTTGTTTCAGAATCGGGCCGGGATCATGATCATCATTCCTACGAAAATGCAATTCTGGTGAGTAGTCTACTTTTTTATTCGGACCTCTGCGGAAAAAAAGAATACTTCTGTACCTGCGCCCATTCAAGGTCAAATTGATTCGAGGCTTGCTAAAATCACGTATCCCGCGGTTGTTATTGGGCCGTTACGTACGCGTTTTAGATGTAGGTACACAAAATATACATCCTAAAAAAATAATCACCCGTCAAATTGGAAAAGAATTAAAGCAATTAAAGATCTGGAGTAAACGCAGCCGAAGAGAGAAGAGACGTAATCGGGCCTCGTTGTTTAACTTTTCTCCTGAACCTGATACCTACCTCACTAGTAGCATAAGTGGAACATAGCGAGTTCACGCCTCGCGCTTTCGCGCCTTCAATTTTGTGGACGCAACACGGACATCCACCGAGTACGAATAGTTGTATCTCTGCGCCGTCATCAACGCGCTTCCTTGCCTTTGCTCTATTTTCATATCATGTTCGTTTCCATGCGTCTCATTGGCGGGGCTGTTTCAAAGACTACGAGGGCAACCCATCATGACACCCAGCTGGAGATAGGAGAGACGTAGTTGGGCCTCATTTTTAAACGTTTCTCCCGAATCTCAGCGACACCTTATAAGGTGTGTAAGGTAGGCTACGGAACAGTAACGGCTATCTGCAAACTGACAATTTTGCAGGACGAAAAAAAATGTTCGCAAGTTTTGTTATTTTGGGGGTGATTTGCACTTTTTCCTTACAATGAAGCGTCATTACAGCGCTCCCCTACCAAATTGCAAAAAGATAAAACCATGAGCTTGCTTATTTAATACTGTAGAATGCGGCACCGTCGCGAAATCATTTTTGCCAAAATTTCCGGTTAAGCGGTATTGTCCCTCAGCCGTCGGTACATATTATAGGTAGACTTCATTCTTGTGCTCAGTTAACTCAGTAGTTTCCACTTAAACATGACATTTGTCAAATTTCAGATACTTGGAATTTCTCCGTTGGGTAGTTCAACAGTCAAATGGACTGAGTTTATCAGGAAGGAACCAACCCACATAAAGTTGAAACCGAGAAAAAGAGATCTGAAGTTTTATTCCTCCATAAAAATCAACGGAGAGAATAAACTCCAACCCTTCTTTTTATGGACTAATTATTTTTTTCGAATTTGTGATATCGGCAGAAGAAAATATACGATCAGTGGAACTCAAACACATTCTTAACTCAGTTTTTTCGAAAATTTGGGCTGCTTTCTTTCTGATAAACTCGATCCAAATGATGGGGTCCCGTAAGTAAAATCTGCCACCATCCACTGGAAAAAAAACAAATTGGATCTATAGTCCAGACTCTTAAAACATCGACAAGAACAAGTACTCTTGATTCAATCAGAATCTAGCTGAAATCAAGAACTAAGCCTCTTAATTCAAGCGGATTTCGTTTTGATTCAAGCAAAAATCCGATTGAATCAAGAGTATTTTTTCTTGTCAATGTTTTCAAGAATCTGGACTCTAGATCCAATGCGTTTTTTCTTCCTGTGTCGTTGAGACATCAGAGAGAGCGTTACTCTTTGTTTCTGGATATTTTCACGTGTGAACCCGGGAGCGGCGCGCGTATCTCTGGCTGCACATTCGAGTTTCTGGAAGAGCCGATCCACTTTGCGGTGTCTCACCGCAGACAGACTCGTGTAATTTAATTGCGATGCAACACTCAAATCATGACGCTTCCTCCGGATTTTATCTCGGATCCTCGGGCGCGGGCGGGCTTCTATTCATTCGAGCCACGCACGCGATTATCGCCCCCCAAATTACCCTCTCAAGTTGCAGATCAGTTTCAGCTCCAATGAAATATCTCCCTCTTGTCTAACTTCTCAACTCTCCGATTTCAAACATCCAAGACTCTGGAATTTTTCTTACGTCCATTTGAGGTACCAAATATCGAGGTTAACAATCGGAGCCAATGTATTGTAGAGACCCCGCACTGAAAATTTAACTAAAAGTTAAAAGGTGAAACGTCTCGGTTTCTAGCATGGTCAAACTGGCGCACAGTGGATGGAGTCAATAGGAGAGGTTATACAAATTTGGAAACTTCAAACGCTTATAGCTCCGTTTGCATTTTTACAAAACTTTGAGGTTCTAAAAGTGGTTCCATTCGTTTCCTGGTAAAATTTTCTTCTAGAAGCACCTTTTAGAATTTACAATGTTACAAAATAAACATCAAACTTCGTAGTCTTATTGTTAGTCAAAAATTTCATGTCCGACCTCTCTAATCGACTCGGTCTACTGTGTGGCGTGCGATGTAATCACTTCGATTAACTCTTATACTGCCATGCTAAGGAAAAAGGCCGTATGAAACTTCAGGCGTTGCCAAATTTCCTTTGATAAGATACGAAATTATTGAGAAAGCTGTGTATATTTCTCTTCCAACTTTCCAAACAATTTTATGTGCAATTTAATCTGAAATTTTCAAGAGAAAATATGCACACATTTTTTTCTAAAATGACTTTTCCAACATGACTTGGCAGTATATTAGATGCCCAAGCCGGGTCTCATGGATCCAAAGCTTGAAATCACTTTCTTTTTGGATTGTAAGATACCGGTTAGTGCGAGCTTCATCTATGGGTCCACAAACACACCATAAAAAGAATCATACACTAAATTGAGGAGGGAAAGAAAAAATCGAGTGTCAACACAACTCAAGATAGGAGAGATGCGGTCAAGCCACGTTTTTCAATTTTTCTCCCGAATCTGAGATACACCTAATTGGTAGCATTGAGTGACGCATTGTAAGCTCACGCCTCGTGTCATCGCGCCTTCAATTTTGCAGACGCAACACGGACATCCATCAAGTACGAATAGTTGTATCTCTGCGCCGTCATCCACGGGTGTCCTTTCCTTTGCTCTATCTCAGTGTTGGGTTGGTCCCGTTTTACTTATTCGTAATAGTTCTCCAAGAGTTGCGTGAGAAACACAGCCACAGAAAATAGAAACGTCATCGGGTTTTCTGTTTTAACTTTTCTTCCGAATCTTTGATAGTCCCGGTTAAAGCCGGTTTGAGCACTGACCCACGAATGAAACTTTTTCGCTGTATGAAAGATAGAAGTTTGAGATCTCTGGTATTCTCCAATTTCAGTCAAAAATTTTGCAAACTCTCGTGATTTGAATTATCTTTTATTTATTTATATATAATTGTTTTTATGCATACATGATTTTATTATCCCTCACAAATATGTAGGATGCTACCATCAAAAAATAATTCCTGAATATGTCCGATTATCATTTCCACGACTGGAAAAACGGAGTGCACCCTCAGGGTCTCAACAGAAGTACATCACGTAGAGGCCATGAATAATTTCGTAAAAAAAGAGAAATATAAAGCTCCCTTTTTTATTTTTCGGTCGTTATTATGATAATTTATTGCTCCTCCAGCTTCAGGTCAGAATCGGGACGTGGGGGCAGAAAAAATTGTTAATTTATTTTATTCCCGCTCTTTTCTGGGTAGACCGCGCATCATCTTGTACCAACTTAGGGAGCATTCACTTGCACAAACCAAGCTTTACAAAGTTGCCAAGTTTTGCGATAAAATGACGATCTTCTCTATGGGTTGCATTGGGGAAACTCTGATTTTTCAGCACTATCTGGCAACCGTGAAGCGCCACGCTGTGAGGAATATAAAAGACGAGAAAAAACGGGAACGAGTGGAGAAAGCAGATAGCATGCATGCACGTCCAAAACGGCATGAAAAACCGCGGACAAAATTATTACCTTAATTTAACTACCATCAATTTATTCCCCCGTTCTACTTCAAGTTAATTACTGAACCTCCCTTAATTTGCTGGTTTGGCCCTTCCCCCGTTATTGAATTAAGAAAAAAGCAGAGGCTGAAAAAGTCCCCCCTTTCGCGGAGTCCCCCAGCCGTCTTTCTGCGAAAAAGCTAAATTGTCAATCGATGTCGGGGGCCGGAACGAGTACAGAGGGAAAACGTCGTAGGAACCTTTAAGCGTTGCCAAATTTCCTGTGGCAAAATGTGAATTGCTTTGATACTTTGTATATCATACTGCGTATATTTTACTGTGGAATCAAGAATATTTTACTCGCAATTTGAACAGTGTCGTGGTGGGAAAATCAAGACTCACTGAGGAATTTTGAAGAATGCAAGGAATGGGCCACTAAACAAGACCTGAACTATGAGAGAAAACCACTCGTTCCCTCCTCAAAATTTTACGTAGAGGACGATTCTCACAATAGGAAGTTTGAATATCAGGCCCTGAACGAGATATTAACAAATATTTACAACGCAGATCGAATGAAAGTTAGATCATTGGTATAAATCTAATGACGTCATTTGCATTTTTGCCGTTGAACCTATGTCAATTGTAAAAAAATATTTTCTTATTTATTTATTTTTGTAATCACACATAAAGAATTACTAAGTCCATTTTTAGACCCTACGGGTCTTCACAAATTTTTTCTTAAATTTATTACAATAGAATGGGGGTAAACACCGCTTCAGAGGTACTTAGAAGGAGAAATGATGGCGGATGAATGATAGAAGGTGGAGTGAAAGTACAAATCTTGTAAAAAGCGGGAGAAAACTATCTAATACTAACTATAACAATTCCTAGAGCGGGAGAAAACTATCTAAAATACTAACTAATTGAAAACATTGATATGTTCTTAAAGAGTCGATTTCCAGGATTTTCATTTTGTGATATGTTTTCCGCGTGAAATAAAGAGAAAACATGTTGTATAGTGCTTTACCTCATATCTTGTTTAGAGGCTCATTGTATGGTTGAATTACACCGAGAAAAAAGATTGGTGGAATTTTCCATTCCTTCATGCTGTATTTCACACAGCGTCAATTCAGAGTCAATTCTGCCAGAGGAAAGGTAAACATTTCTATATACTGGTTGACAATCCTCCAGCCATTCCTCTGGCAGAATCGACTTTGAATTCACGCCGTGTAAAATACAGAGTGAGGGAACGGTAAATTCTACCAATCTTTTCTCTTGCTGTAGGAAATTTTCCTGGAAATCGATGCAAAAAA